GACCAGATGGTTTTACAAATGTATTTTTTCATGTGTATAAATCCCTACTGAGCAAACATTTGGTCCTTACTTTCAATAATGCGGTTCAGAGGGGCAGTTTCCCGGAAGAAATGCTTAGATTAAATGTGCTCCCTATTTTGAAGCAAGGAAAAGATCCTACATTAGTTTCTAGTTATCGACCTATTTCTTTAATTAACACGGACATTAAAATATTCTCGTCAATACTGGTGGCACGACTTAAATTGATAATCAAGAATTTAATTCATAAAGACCAAATCTGCGTTATGCCAGGAAGATGGGTTGGAGCGAATACAAGACGAATTATAAATATTATAGATAGTGTGAATAGGAAACATGTACCCCTACTGACTATCGCTGTAGATGCGGAAAAAACCTTTGATAGGCTTAACTTGAAGTTCCTTAAACTAACTTTAGAAGCATACAATATAAAAGGATGGATGCTTAACAAAATTTTGGCATTGCATAAAAACCCCTCTGCTGGAATAGTCAGACCAAATGTTTGCTCGGATTAGGTATCAATAAATAAACGGGTCAGGCAAGGCTGTCCATTATCACCATTATTATACATATTGTCAATAGAACCGCTAGCAGAAAATATAAGGAATAATGAAGGGATCAAGGGATACAAGGCAAGAGATAGCGAATTCAAAATTAGTCTTTATGCAGACGATTTTCTGTTATCGATAGTAGATCCCTTAAACATCATTAGACCATTTGATGAGAGCAATAACGGAATATAGTCAGTTAGCAAACTACAAATTAAATACATATAAGACAATAGTGATGGGTATTGAGTTAAGAAAAGATATTAGGGATGAGATTAAGAGGAAATATGAATTTGTGTGGAGTAAAGGAAAAATTGGCTACCTAGGAGTATTGATCACTAAAGATATTAACAATCTGATGGAAGAAAATTTTTTGAAGCTTTTAAAAACTACCAGTTTGCTACTCAAGACTTGGAGACATACACAGATTACATGGTGGGGTTACATCTATGTGATCAATTCCTATATTATTCAAAATGGAATTATCTGATGCAAATACCCCTTGGAATCCTGCCTGGTTGGTTAAAAATACTACAGAATATCTTAGAGAACTTCATCAATAAGGGTAAATAAAACAAAATTAGTAGATTAAATATGTCTTTAAAATCCATTGATGGTGGATTAAACTTTCTTAATATACATTTTTTTGTATTGGGCGAATTCAGTATCCCATGTATATAGGTCTCAGCTAGTAACAGCAAAGGAGGAAGGCTGGTTTAAAATCGAAATGGAGGATCTAGGGTTAAAGAACCCGGAAGGTTTAATTTGGAATATAAGCAATGTAGAAAAGATGGGTATCGAGATTAAGAACAATAAAATCTGGGCACAGATGCTCCCGGTGTGGGAAGAGATGAAAAGGAAAATGGGTTTGAGTTATGCAATTTTGGACTTCTCTACTTTAGGGGTAATCGAAGCCAACATTAAAGATATATCATTGGTTAGGTGGAGAGGGAGCGGAATAGAAAAATTGTTACAGATATCTCAGCATGGTAAAATAATGCCATTTGAGTCTATCAAACAAATATTTCAGATATCTAGTGCTGAGATTTTCTCTTATTTAAGGATTAAATATTTTTGCAGAAATATATGGTTATAGCAATGGCGAAATCTCCAGAGTTATTAGATCTCTCTTTTTAAATGAAACTCCATATAAAGTTTTGGCCAAAGCGATCAAAATTATTAGAAATATGAATTATTTAGTAAAGTCCCATCAAAAGAATACATGGGAAAGGGATCTGAACTGCCAACTGGATCAGCAAGAATGGTGTAACACACTTAATAAGACTCGCAAACAGGTACAATGTTTGGAGAGTGACTGAAAAATGAGCTGTGAGTATGTCTGTATGTATGTCCGTATGTCTGTATGTATGTCAGTATTTATGTATGTATGTATGTCAGTATGTATGTGTTTGTGTGTATGTCCTTATGCATGTGTGTGTCTGTATGTATGTTAGTATGTGTCTGTGTGTCACTTTGTATGTCTGTGTGTCTGTATATGTGGGTATGTCTGTTTCAGTATGTGTGTCCGTTAGTATGTATGTGTGTGTGTCAGTATGTTATATGTGGGTATGTCTGTTTCAGTATGTATCCATATATGTGTGTTTGTCTGTTTCAGTATGTGTGTCCGTTAGTATGTATGTGTGTTTGTCAGTATGTGTGTATCTGTGTGTGTGTGTGTGTGTGTGTATCTGTGTCCTTTTGTATCAGTGAGTGTGTTTGTGTCTGTGTGTGTATTCTTGTAGGTGGACCCTGAGCTGTGTTAGGGGCCCTAAAATTTCTGATGGCGGATCTGTTGGGTAGTGCAATAATCAATGGAAACTTGGATATGGTGGCTCGAATATACCAGCTAGATTCTCAAAATATTCTAAAACAGTTTGACAAATTGCACTAGAGTGGTGCTAGGGCACTCTTAGTCTTATAAACACTAAAACAGTGTGTATTAGTTTTGGTTATTTGGTTGTTCCTTTAACAAAAAGAAAAGTCTCAACATTTAGATGTGTAATTACTGATTAATACGCGTACTTGAAACAGAATTTACTCTGTGTTTTATTCAATAGTGTTTTGCATTTGGCCCTGGCACCCTCTAGGCAACTGTGCTGTTAGGGAGCTTGTGATCTGCACCATGTATACGTAACGATCTGTGCTCTCTTCAATCTTAAACCAGAACAGTGATTTTTACCAGCTGGTGTGCAGACCATGTGTGACCTTGTGTCCTATGTATAGTCCTGTTTGTGAATAGATTTCCACACAATGGTTTGGCTCCGAATATATTTGTATAATGTTATCAAGTTCCCTCTGAGGCAACGTTTTTCTAAACTAAAGAGGTTTAAAATTTGTTAACCTTCATAGCTAAAATGCTCAATTCCTTTTGTTAAAGGGACACTATAGTCACCAAAACAACTTTCGCTTAAAGGACCACTATAGTGCCAGGAAAACATACTTGTTTTCCTGGCACTATAGTGCCCTGAGGGTGCCCCCACCCTCAGGGTCCCACTCCCACCGGGCTGGATGGAGAGGAAGGGGTTAAACACTTATCTTTCTCCAGCGCCAGGCTCCCTCGGTGCTGGAGACTCTCCTCCTCCTTTCCCCGTCATCGGCTGAATGCGCATGCGCGGCAAGAGCCGCACACGCATTCAGCCAGTCTCATAGGAAAGCATTCTCAATGCTTTCCTATGGATGCTGGCTTCTTCTCACTGTGAAAATCACAGTGAGAAGTGCGAAAGCGCCTCTAGCGGCTGTTAATGAGACAGTCACTAGAGGCTGGATTAACCCTAAAGTAAACATAGCAGTTTCTCTGAAACTGCTATGTTTACAGCAGAAGGGGTTAATCCTAGGTGGACCTGGCACCCAGACCACTTCATTAAGCTGAAGTGGTCTGGGTTCCTAGTGGTTCTTTAATGAAACAGTTTTGGTATATAGATCATGCTCCTGCAGTCTCACTGCTCAATTCGCTGCCATTTAGGAGTTAAATCAGTTTGTTTATGAACTCTAGTCAAACCTTCCTTTATTGCAAGTTCTGTTTAATTTAGATATTCACGTCCCCTGCTATGTTAATAGCTTGATAGACCCTGCAAGAGCCTCTATGATTAAAGTTCATTTAACAGAGAAAGAGATACAATTACATCTGATTGAAAGTGAAACCAGTTTTTTTCTTGCAGGCTGTGTCAATCAGAGCCAGGGGAGGTGTGACAAGGGCTGCATAAACAGAAATAAAGTGATTTAACTCCTAAATGGCAGTGAACTGAGCAATAAAACCTGAAAAGTATGATCTATACGCTTAAACTTATTCGTTAAGCTAAAGTTGTTTAGGTGACTATAATGTTCCTTTAATTTTATAGCCCGCCTCTGCACTTTTTCTAGTGCCATAATATTCTTCTTTAGAACAGGGGCCCAAAATTGCACAGCATATTTTAGATGTGGTATTAGCAGTGCTTTATAAATAGGCAAAATTAGATTCTCATCCAAAGAATGAATGCACTTTTTAATACATGACAATATCTTACTGGCCTTAGCCACTGCTGATTTTGACATTGTACATTGTTGCCTAGTTTGTTGTCTATAACAGTTCCCAAATCCTTCTCGTGTGCTGTTATCTCAATTCACTTTCATTTAGGGTATAAATTGCTTGTTCATTCTTTACCCCGAAGTGCATAACTTTGCATTTTTCTATATTAAATTGTATCTGCCCTTTGAGAGCCCAGTCCCCCAGTCTATCTAAATCCCTCTACTGCAAAGTGATATCCTGCTCACATTGTATTACTTTACAGAGTTTTGTGTCTTTTGCAAACACTGAAATATGACTTTCAATGCTTATTTCAAGATCATTTATAAACATGTTAAATAGAAGGGGTCCCAGAACAGAACTTTGAATGACACCACTTACCACCTCTGTCCAGCTTGAAAATGTACCATTAATGACAACTCTATGTACTCTATTTTTAAGTCAATGTTCTACCCAAGAACATGCATTTTCATCTAGTCCAATTTGTTTCAGTTTCAACACTGTATCAAATGCCTGGGCAAAATCCAAATAGATTTTCAATCTGACCTAGCAACTACATCTTTCATAAAAGGATTACCATGCCGACACTTACATCAGCTTCTTGCACTATCTCTAATTGTCCTTTATATGATCATGAAGTTGAATAGTCGTAGTTGATTGAAAAAAATGTTTAATGTGTTGTTCAAAGCCTAGAGTATAATAAAGCCACTTCATTTAATATTTCAGGTCAGACTACCTCTCGTATCATTTGGGACAAGTTAGAATTTTTGCCAAGTAGGGATACAGGTATTGACAAAGCTCCAATAGTTAATGCCATGCCAAGTTTACTTATTAACAGCTTCACAGTGAATTAGGACACCTCAACATGGCTATATATATGGAGGCAGACACATTAAGCAGACACTCAGCCTCCGACACTACGTCCATTAACAATGGCGACCACTTTCACTGGCACACAAGTTTATCAAAGTGACTTTGATCCTCAGATATATTTAGATACATATTATGGTGCTGTATCTGGGGTTTTCATTAAAGATGGATACTTGGAGTTCATACTGAGAAAATTGCACTTAGCCTTTACTACAGGTAAGAATAATTCCAAAAAGGATTGTACGAGATCGATACATTATTTGTTAGTTCTTTTCGGAACACGGTAAAGCATAATGTACTTTTGGATTCTAGCCATTGTGTGTTCCTCTTGTCATATTAAGTCCATTTTGTTCTGTAATACAATAATGAAGAAACATGTCCAACTCAAAAAGTAATCATTCATATTGTAGCTATTAAGGTTTTTTGATATAATGATGTAAAAGAACAAAATATTTAGAAACACTTTTAAAAATCTTGTGATGATAGCTAAATGACACTGATAACAAATTGTTTTTATTATTAATAACATCACATATCTATATTCCTTTACACTATGCTCTGCAGTCACAATTAATTAAATGTGGAGAAAATAAAAGACAATTAAATTACAGTAAGTAAAGTATATAATAGAGAAAAAGAATTAGGCTGGCAAGCAGTCAAGTAAGAGTATGTAAAAATATTGAAATAATCAAATATCACTAATATAGAATTCATAACATATATATATAGAATTCATAACATATATATACATATATATATATATATGTTATGAATTCTTAGCATAGACAATTAAATACTTACTGTTACCTTGGAACTAAAAAAAATCAATGATTGAGAAGATTTTATAAAATTTGACAATAACTCTGTTTGAATATAAAAATCTGAACATGGTTTTGAATGTCCTTTTTTTCTCTTTTTTGTGTTTGTTATCTCAAACAGGGGGAGTTAAGGGAGACACCATGATTGATATTGGGCCTGGTCCAGCCATTTACCAGGAACTGTCTGCTTGTGAAGCCTTCAATGAGATCACTGCTGCAGATTTTACTGACCGCAACAGAGAGTACCTGGAAAGATGGAGAAAGAATGAGCCAGGGCTGTTTGACTGGACACCTGCATTAAAGTTTGTCTGCGACTTAGAAGGACGCAGGTAGGTGACAATGTAGCAAACATCCACAAGAAAAATATTTGCTAGATTTGGAAATTCTAGGATAACTGTAATTCAAAGAATCACAAAGACAAAGATGCATTTAGAATGAGTTGAAATTTCAACTCTTTCTTTTTCACCTGAACTTACCAACAAACTCAAGACCTAAAATACTAAATTCAGTACCATGATGGGGGGAAATTAACACACAGATTAATTATCAACGAACTGTGGAAAAATACTCCTTTAAGAAAATAAACAATATGAAGGTTTACAAAAAATTATGGAATCCCTGGTTATATCGATCTAAACATCTCCTAGAAGTAAGTTATGAAATATGGCAATACCTCCCTATTTATCTATTTTAAAGGAGAAAGAGTTGAGGAGAGAGAGGAGAAGGAAGATAAAAAGATAAATATCTCTCTTTTCTCTCTATCTCCTCCCGTAGAGCATTTATGAGTGAAATTATGGATGTATGTTAGGTATAATTTTATTGGTATGTTTGTATATTGACCAGCTTTAAATATAACAGTCATCGATATGTATATTGACCAATATAATTTTTGTCATATGTTGTTGTATGTTTTTGCATATTTTACTTGCAATCAAATTTATAATAAAAAATATATTTAAACAAAAAAATGAATTCAAGTTCATGTAACATTTAAACCTATGCTTGTTTGTATTTCCAGTGGGAAGCTTGCAGAGAAACAGGAAAAACTAAGGAAGACTATTAAGAGAGTGGTCAAGTGCGATGTTACCAAAAGTAACCCTTTAGATCCACTGGTCTTGCCAAAGGTTGACTGCGTTCTCACTGTAGGTTGCTTGGAATGTGCTTGTAAAGACGAGATGGCCTACGGAAAAGTAATCAGAAATCTATCATCTCTTCTAAAAATAGGAGGGCACCTAATCATCGGAAGCATACTGGGTAGTACAATATTCCGATGTGGATCACAGCAATTCACTCTCATAAACCTTAGTGAAACCTTTCTCAGGAAAGTCTTGACAGACAATGGGTTTTCCATTGTGGACCTAGAAGTCCTCCCAAGAGATTATGATAAAGTAATGTTTGATATCTGCAATCATACCTCTGGTATTTTTATCCTAGCACGTAAAATCAAAGAGGTATGAAAAAGGTCAAAATTAAATATCAGGTGTCCATCGCATGTTATATTGAAACATGTAGACACATAGTGAAAAAGATTCCAATATTAAAATAAGGTTTATTAAAATCTATATTGTAAGACTGTCACCAGAGAAAAAAAAAATATAATAATATCATTACCTTGTTTAAACGATGTTGTGATGAATCAAATTCTGTTATGTAGAAGGCATTTTTAAATATCCTGCAACATAAAATAAGTTGAGGTTTTGAAATGTATGATTAATTTACCTTTAAAAAATATATATAATAAAGGTATGGATTTAAATAGAATCTATCTATATAAAATAAGATATATTCTTTGAATAAAAGGATAATTTGATTGAAACATGGCAGTTTTTGTTTAACATCTTTATTTACAATTATAGGCACTTTGAAAAATAAAAGTGTAAATGCTCTAAATGAATTCTTATCTCTTGGAGTTTATTAAATAAAATATACTAAATTATACAATGACATACATTGCAGCTGACAAATATGATCCACATTTTTATGGCGTTTATATAAAGTCATTTGATAGGTTTTAACCTTTTATTAATATGCTGTATTGCTTTTGAATGCTCAGAACTTTATATGCACCAAAAATGTTTTGTAGAATAAATTACCATAAGCCTGTCTGCTACTCCTCCGTATGCACACAGTTAACAACACTGAATAAGCTGCTTTTAATTTGCAACTTTGCTGCAACATTGGGAGATATGCAGATAGGAATGGGTAGGTAGGCCTGAACGAGGCATCTGACATCAATGGTGATGCCCATAACAGGCAGACCTTCCCCAAAAAAGCACTGTCCCACCAACTAAAGAACTGAATAGGCATGTTTGTACATATCTCAAGTGTCTCTATTTAGGAATGACAGTCCCTATTTTGGACCCAAATCCATCTGATCCTTTTTTCTATCTCAATGCTCTTCTTTTCTAGGAGCTCCATATTATCAGTGTATCTTGGTGTATAACAGAGCTCCACAGCAATAATGCTCAGAATAGTGTATCTTTAAATGGACACTATAGGCAGCCAGGCAACTCATCTCATTGAAGTGGTCAGGGTGAAATGCCCATGTCCCCTTAACCCTGTTAGCGAAAATATTACAGTTTCAGAGAAAATGCAATGATTATATTGCAGGGTTAAGACATCTACCAGACAGCCATTAGAGATGCTTCCTGCATTTTAATAGAGTTTAACTCTGTGAATCGACGTTGGACATTCTCACGCTGTGCATGAGTACATCCAGTATCTTCAAAATCCCCATAGGAAAGCATTGACTCAGGTCATGGTAAGACCTAATGTGCATATGTGCATTAGGTACCCCTATCAGAGTGATGTCAGAGGAGCAGGACAATTTATTTCAATGTGTTTTAACCTTTATTTGCCATGGGCAAGTAAGTTACTCTAGGGGGAAAGGGACACATCTAGTGATTCACTTCCGCTGTGCTGCCCAGAGGACGTCTCCCTGTTGTCCCAAGTTGTGGGACACTAGGGAACTAAATGAGGACTGTGGGACAGAAGCTCAAAATCAGGACTGTTGGGAGGCTTGCAGTTACTATATGTGTCCATGGATGTCCTCTCCTTCTAATGATGGCTCTTTTGTAGTTCAGATCACTCAGTACTGCCAGTGGCTGAGCTATGTACATATATTTGATAAGAACGTTTTTTTCAGTGATGGGTGGTAGCTAAGGAGGCAGGCGTATGGTGCAGCATTTTACAAAACATTTATTTTTTTTGTGCACAAACTAAAAAGTTCAAAGGATGCAAAAAAAAAAAATACAACATATTAAGATAAAAACCTGCCCAAATGCATTAAAGTTGCATTGGTGTCTGGAGTGGTCCTGTAATGGGAAGCAGCTTTTGTGGGTGCACACAGTAGCTCTTTGGAATCTAATGCTGCAAAATAGATTTAAATAGATGTATCCACTGAGCACAATTTTTCCTGTTTTGTCCATGTGGGTTCAAGGCCAGTATACCTTCAGGCTGATGTGGAGCTGCCTAGGGTTACTGCATGTAGCATGGACGAGCCACAGACCAGCGTAGAGGAGCTTCTGGTTGGGGAGAGGGAACAGGAGCTCCTCTACCCCAGTCTGTGGATCGTCCATGCTACGTGGAGGTACAGTAGGGGAGAGGGGAGACACATGAAAGAGTTGGGGGGGGGGGTATGAGACACATAGAGGCACTGGTGGGAATTAGACACATAGAGAAGCTGGGGGGATGAACTAGACACATTAAGGTGCTGGGGAGATGAATGAGACAAATAGAGGTGCTGGAGGGATTGAGACGCATGGTGGAGCTGGAGGGAGGAATGAGACACACAGAGGGGCTGAGAAAGGGAAAGAAGAGGAAAGAGACACACAGAAAGGCAGGGGAAAGGGAGAAAGACAAAGGGGTAGGGCTAAGAGACACACAAAACAGGCTTGGTGGAGAGAGACACACACAAAAGGGACTGGGGAAAGAAGACAAACAGAGAAGCTGGAGAAGGGGAAAAAGAGTCACATAAAATGTTGTGATTGACACACAAGAGTGGTGTAAGACATGCAAAGAGGAAAAATGGGAGATAATATACACTAAAGGAAGTAAGACAATCCAAAGAGGAGGTAAGAAACACAAAAGGGGGCAAAAAATTCATAAGGAAGGTTGCATGCAGTAACAGGTGAAGATGCATTTTTAATGTGGTGGGGGATGCATCTTTACCTTCTTCTCCTGCTCTCCCTGTAACTTGGTTCTTTAGCACTGCAGTCTATGCTGAAGAGTTGATTGACAGGTCAGAGAGCTATCTCATTAAAGGGACACTGTAGTCACCAGAACCATTACAGTTTAATGTAATGATTCTGAAGTACTTGCAAGCTGAGCATTGTAAATGGCGCATTTATCAGAGAAAAGGCTGTGATTACATTGCTGCCGTGGAACACCTGTAGTGTCACTCAGACTGTCACTAGATGTGCTTTCTTGTCTATTGCTGTGCAGTGTGCATCACTTACATTGATCATCTCCATGCTATGCATGGCCGAGCCGAACACTCCCCATAGAGATGCATTGATATGAGGAGATGCTAATTGGTGCAGTGTTTTGCCACACATGCACAATAGCCTCCCAATGCTTTCCCTTTAATAAGATGTCTTTTTTCTGACCTGTCAATCAACTCTTCAGCATAGACTCTAGTGCTAAGGAATCGAGTTACAGGGAGAGCATAACGGAAGGCTCAGCCAGGGGCGCTGCTAATTGGAACGGAATCTTAAACTGTGAAGCAGCCATGTTGATGCAACCCCCTTGCTTCTACACACTAGGCTTTGCAAATTAAAAAAGAAAAATATTAATTATTAAAATATTATTATGGTGGAGTATGAAAACAGCATTTACTCCTCTAGGTGGCGGTACTTTTCCCCAAATGAGGAAAGTCAAAGGAAAAATCAACTTGGTGGTGAACACTGTGAACTCCATTGAGTACTGCATGCATGCCAGAATTCTGATTATCATTTTCAGAGAACACTCCAATATGTGAAGGATTTAGTACACAATTCCAAAAAATAACAGAATACTTCATGTTTCGTACCTAATTTGTCATTCACTCCTCAACACAGATAAAGAAGAGTATGTGTTACAGAATTGATGAAATGCATTAATCCTTCATTTTTGGATGCTTGTCACTGGCACCCTGCCATCATGTGAATATTTGCTGTAATACTATCTTGATTGCAGTACAACTTAAAGAGACACTCCAGTCTTCTGAAGGTTAACTGGTATGCATTTATCTAATTAGCCTAATTTACTTTTTCATCTTAAAAATTAACTTCCTAATAATAAATGTTTTAAAAATCCACTTAATCTACCAGAGAAAGTTATCATTTACTGTTGGCGGCATCATATAGAAGGCTCACTTCTCCCTCCTTTAATTTATTTGCAACCCAGTTCATGTAAATGGGGAATGTAGTACCAAGATTTTAGTAGGGATCATCTATCTATACCAATAGGCTGTGTTCTAAAAGCCATAGTTAGTATCAAAGTCTAAAGTTTAGAAATCACTGTGACCTTTCTTTAAGGGTAATCAGTGTGGATTTACTGGAAACAGACATAAACAACGAGGCCCTAAAAACTGTATGGTACACATCTGAAATATACCGCAGTGTATACTATTCAGAGAGGTATTTCAATCACAGAGCTGAATACACATACATTCAGTGGAGATGGATTGCATTGGTTTACTGCAGCAGAATACCAAGAACATCAGTGTAACCGCATTACAATAAATCACAGGTGTGAATACAGAATTAGGAGTATGAAGAGCACAAGTTGTAATAGAAACTGTATTGACCAGTTCACAAAACAACAAATACTGTCGATAGGGCTGGCAGAGTTAATTAGTAATACCAGGTAAATGTAGTCAAAGCACGCACACAAAAATGTATATAGATGTATAGAATTGATTTTCTCACCCCTCCTGGGTGGTATGTGTAATTCTCATCCCGGGTCCTCTACCAGAGGCTGGGAGTTTGAGGGTTCTGCACAGTATCTTAGCTGTTTGCAGAACTGCACTCTTCTGGACTGTGATAATGTATGACAATATAACAAATAAAGGAAGGGGTGCACTCCAAGGTCTTCAAATCAAGGTTCATGTTTAATTTGGTTTTAAATCAAGTAAAAAAAAATCATCTGTGTAACAAGATCAACATTTCGACCCAATAGGGTCTTTATCAAGATCCACAGTACAAGTGCTAATGTCCCTATACATAACAAATTTCAAAAATAACTTACCAATAGAAGTGAGACGACAGCCTTTGTAGAACAGATTATTTTTTGACTTGATTTATTTTTGTATTTATTTAACTGCCTTCCTTAAATATCAATGTGTTTATTTTTTGCCTTTATTTGTGTGTATATATTGGTTTCTTTGCATTCTAGGTTCCACCCTATCGAGGTTGCTGCACTGGTCAGCACTCCATCGTGACCAAACACCTGACAGAATTAACTGGCTATTAAATAT